GCCAAGTTCTAGAGTGCAAGCATCATGAGTGAAATCACACAAGAGAGAACAATTATCTATCCAACCTCTTACTCATCAAAACCAACTTGACATAACAAGAGAGTTCACAAATATTCAATCCACAAAGTAGCAAGAAAGTGTCCAATAACTCATACAAATCCAACAATTCAATGAAAAATAAAACCATTTATTTGAAAAAGAAATCCTACTCCTAAACCACTCCCCCACACTTAAATCAAACATTGTCCTCAATGAAAGCACAATCATCACAATCAACAAAATATGACATGTAAGACAAAAGAGTAGAAGAGGGAAGAAGAAACTCCCTAATCATGGTGGGTCAATAGTGGGCTCCTCTAGTGTGCACTCCTCCATAGTGACATCCACAAGTGAGGGACTTTCATGAAAATGCTTGAGGTGATGACCATTCACCTTGAAGCTCCTATCAGAGGATTCACTCTTGATTTCTACAACACCATAAGGAAAAACATTAGTGACCAAAAAGGGACCAATCCACTTAGAACGGAGTTTACCAGCCATGAGCTTAAGTCTAGAGTTAAATAGTAGCACTTTCTACCCAACAAGAAACTCCTTCCTAGCTATCAAGCTGTCATGGAATCTCTTGTTTTTTCTTTGTAAAACTTAGAGTTCTCATAGGCCTCTAAGCGGATTTCATCAAGCTCATTCAGTTGGAGCTTTCTTTCCTCTTCCGCTTGGTCAAGAGCTAAGTTACAAGGCTTCACAGCCCAATATGCACGGTGCTCTATCTCAACTGGTAGGTGACATGCCTTACCAAAAACAACCCGATAGGGAGACATCCCTATAGGTGCTTTGTAGGCTGTCCTATGCACCCAAAGCGCATCCTTAAGTCTACGGCTCCAATCCTTCCTGTTAGGTTTTACTATCTTCTTCAAGATCCTCTTAATCTCTCTATTTGAAACCTCAGCTTTCCCATTAGTCTGGGGGTGATAAGGAGTAGAAACTTTGTGGACAACCCCATACTTTCGTAGCATAGCTTGCATGGATCTATTTTAAAAATGGGTGCCCTGGTCACTAACAATAGCTCTAGGTATGCCAAACCTGCAAAAAATATGAGATCTAACAAAATCTACAACAACTCGAGCATCATTAGTCGTGGTGGCCTTAGCCTCCACCCACTTGGAAACATAATCAACAACAAGTAATATATAAGAGAAACCAAAAAAAATAGGGAAAGGGCCCATGAAATCAATACCCCAGACATCAAAAACCTCAAAGAACAACATGGGTAGCGGAAGGATCTGCTGTCTCCAAGTAATGGTGATGGAAATCTAATCCCCAAGGATCCCTTTGGAAGAAAGTCCCTCACTTGTGGATGTCACTATGGAGGAGTGCACACTAGAGGAGCCCACTATTGACCCACCATGATTAGGGAGTTTCTTCTTCCCTCTTCTACTCTTTTGTCTTACATGTCATATTTTGTTGATTGTGATGATTGTGCTTTCATTGAGGACAATGTTTGATTTAAGTGTGGGGGAGTGGTTTAGGAGTAGGATTTCTTTTTCAAATAAATGGTTTTATTTTTCATTGAATTGTTGGATTTGTATGAGTTATTGGACACTTTCTTGCTACTTTGTGGATTGAATATTTGTGAACTCTCTTGTTATGTCAAGTTGGTTTTGATGAGTAAGAGGTTGGATAGATAATTGTTCTCTCTTGTGTGATTTCACTCATGATGCTTGCACTCTAGAACTTGGCTTGACTCTTTTTGACACAACTTGATCCACATTCATGTATTGAAGTGATTTAGGCAATTGATTTCTATTAGCCACTGTCGCCACCGGCCCGAAACGGGCTTTCGGCATTCGCGAAGGATGGTTGGACTCTTTCTTTAAGAGTTGGGCAAGAAGTAGTGTGACAGTGCTCTTTATAATGATAATCAAAGTGTCATTCATCTTGCAAAGAATCATGTGTTTCATGCGAAGACAAAGCACATCCAGTTGAGATATCATTTCATTAGAGGAATAATCAATGATGGTACTTTTTCTTGAAGAAGATCCCTAGGTTAGAGATGCAGTTTAGTGGAAAAACACATAGAAGGGGGGGTTGAATATGTGTGTGTGTGTGAACAAAGACATTTTAAAAAAAAATTCGCAAGGAGACCCTCTTTCGTCTGGTAAAATGGTATTAGTGAATGCTAAAATAAAACTGCCCAGGACTGGTTTAACAAAATCATTTAGCAATTGAGAGTTTCATCGTCTGTTTAGAGAAATTACTTCTTAGACGAAAACCATTCTTTTACAATAAATAGTTGAACAAGTATGATTTTCGTCTAAAGATAGTTTTAATAGACGATAAGCATTAGACGAAGTTTTCAGTATATTAAATCAGTCAAATAAAAGTGTGTATGAAATATAAGGATAGTGCAAGTATATTTTTATACTAGTTCCCTCAAGATGAGCTACGTCTGGTCTCCTTTAGATGAAGGGTTCCGCTATATAATCAATTAAGTACAAGTATTGTTTATTCAGCTCCTTTAGGCTCACAGTGAGTATTATAGACCACCCAAGTCACGACCACTCCTGGTCCCAAGTATTCTCAACCACTTCTGGCTCGTTAGCTTCACTTGCAGACGCTAGTATTCTTAAACCACTTTTGGTTGCTCGAGTATTCTCAACCACTCCTGGTTCGTCAACCTCACTTGTTGACGCTAGTATTCTTTGCTCAGCCACTTCTAGCTTTCAATGAGTATTATCGACCAATTCCTGGCCCGCCAGCTTCACTCACTAGCGCTAGTATTCTTTGTTCAGCCACTTCTAGCTTCTAGTGAGTATTATTGACCAACTCCTAGCCCGTTGACTTCACTCATCAACGCTAATATTATTTACTCAACCACTTCTGGCTTGTAGTGAGTATTCTTTGACAAGCCTCTCCAGGCTTTACAAGTATTATTTCCCTAGCCTCTTCAGGCTTTACATATATTAACTAGACAAGTTTGGTTTGAGTGTTTGGGTTACATAAGGAAAAACATTAGTGACCAAAAAGGGACCAATCCACTTAGAACGGAGTTTACCAGCCATGAGCTTAAGTCTAGAGTTAAATAGCAGCACTTTCTACCCAACAAGAAACTCCTTCCTAGCTATCAAGCTGTCATGGAATCTCTTGTTTTTTCTTTGTAAAACTTAGAGTTCTCATAGGCCTCTAAGCGGATTTCATCAAGCTCATTCAGTTGGAGCTTCCTTTCCTCTCCAGCTTGGTCAAGAGCTAAGTTACAAGTCTTCACAGCCCAATATGCACGGTGCTCTATCTCAACTGGTAGGTGACATGCCTTACCAAAAACAACCCGATGAAAAACCTTGAAAAAGCAAAGTGAAAACAAAACACTAATAGTAGCACTTGGCCTTGAATTTTTGTGTGAATTTTTTTTAGGTTTGCTTGCTGTCCAGTGGTTGGAAAAAGACTTTTAAATACTCAAATTCATAGAACAAATTTTGTTTTGATTTTTGTAATCAATTCTAGATCCATTCCTAGGATTATTCTTTTGTGTGCTAGCTTTTGAA